GTTTAGGCACGAATCGGAATCTTCTCAGAGAGGAAGCAGGGAACTGGCCTGAATGTCAAGTTATGTCTAGTTTTATGTGGAAACTTTCCATAAATGCCAAGAAGCAAAATACGGGGAAATAAAGACCATAGGTAAAGGCCTACCATTTCCAACACTACCAAACCCTTTCTTCTTTGAGACCAAATAAAAATCAGACTTCTAATCCATAATCACAGAAAATTTGCACTTTCTAAAATCTAAACACAGCAAAGAATAACGTGGAACAGTGAATATTTTTCATGTTTACAGAAGCCTAAGAATTTCACTGTAAGCCTTCAAAAGAAATACTGTACTTCTAGCGGATTGATCTGAACCGTCCTCCTTGATGATATTAATTCTGTGTAGCAGTTGAATACTCAACTGGCTCTTGGGACAGTACTTTTGTCCCTGTTTCTTTCATCAGGTGCCAGCTGATATCAAAATTTTGCATGTTATTAAGTAAGCTTTTTATGTTGATGGAAATATTGTGCAAAACAGAACAAGACTCATTGTCTTTTTCTGTACAGATTATCCTACCTCCTGTGATAATACCAGATTTTTCAAAATGCACCGTGTGCTTCAGAAAGTTCTACTCAGACATCAATCTTTAACTTGTTAAGTCTCACTATTAACTCTTACTAGTCTTTCAGCAGTTCATGTGAGTTTATGAAGTGTCCTAAAACAGGGAAACAGGGGTGCTCTTTGATTGTATTATTTTGATATTGAACCAGGATAGGTCCCTAATATTGTAAGCGAAGATTTTACAAGAATAAGTTGATTTTCCTGTGGGTTTTACTATAATACTGAAAAGTTGTGCGATTGTCCTTGCTTGTCATTCATTTCAGACTGAAGGTATCCTAAAGTGTAATCCCTGTTTTGGTTTTACTGTTTGCTTGGGATTTTGTCGAGGTTTTTTTGGGGGGGGGGTTGTTTTGTTTTTTTTTTTTTTTAAAACATGGATTGTTCTGATTGTATAATGCTGGCTTTGAACTGATATACACACACCTTGGCAAGCATCCTTTGCATTTCCTTCCTCTTCTGTGGCTAACTGCTGGCAGTGTCATTAAAGGAGATCATTTGGGTTTTGAGCAAAGAAACAGAGGCAAGCCTCTGTTATAGAAAGATGTTCCTTTCAGAATAAGACTTGAATATTTTAGGCAAACTCAAAAAAGACAGGAGGCAATTACTGACACTTGGGAGGTTTCTCACTCCTGAGAATTTTGATAGTGTTTAAAACTGTTTTCATCAGGCCTGAGCACATTCTTGTTCTCCACACAATATAATAGAACTCACTGCTAGAACAGATTAGGTTCCCTTATCTGTTTCATCTTGTTGTCATGTCATATGTCCTTCATTTATACCACTCAAACAATTGGACTTTTACCTTTTTTTTTTTTGTTCTCCACACAAATGATTCACATTTTAATTTAGTTTCCAAACTCAGCGTCTCCACTGCTTGTCACTTCCATGCAATTCTAACATTAGTTTGATTAAGTCTTTGTCAGGAGACTAAAATACCTTTCAACAACTTCATCTATTTGCTAAAAGGTCCAGACATAGTTACAGGTACATCCAGACTAACAGAGCTTCTCACTGTGCAGCCCTGGCTTTGGGGTTGTAGCCTGATAATGGGCAACAGAGCAAGGAGGGAAACAAAGGGGGGATTATTCAAACATTGTGGAAAAGGTGAGGGGAAATTGGTTTTGTGTTCTCCCCATCCCACATGAAAGTTTATAGAGGACAAATGATACAGCCACAGATAGCTGTAGAGAATCAAGGACCGAAATCTTTGGTGCAAAGGCATTTCTACCATACAAATCATTCCTTCAGGCTACATCTGCCTCCTAACAAATGTCATTACATATAATGACATGCTTTTTTATGTAACGCTCAAGCTTTGGTTTCAGTGCAACCTCTTACATTTGGATGGTAAGATCTGGACTCTCCCTGCTGTTGGAGATGGGCATTATATCCCCCTTATCCCATTTACTTTGAAACATCCAGAGTTTTGTAAAGAACTATTGTAACTTGGGTGCTGAACTCTGCTTCTGCACACCACAGTATAGCGAGTGTCAGTGGTGACTGAGGAAGCCGCTTGCGAGAAGCCAGAGTTTTCAATTGTCATTTCACTGTGAGCTAGCATTAGCACAAGTTCCTTGTTCTGCATTTCAACTAGCCACTGGGGTGCGTTCAGTGTAAAATGGTGAGCATCTTTCCTTTAATTGCTATCTGACATCTAAATGTTGTTCTTGACAGTGTTAATTGAATTAGTAGGCTTGCAATTTAGCAATATGCTACAGACTTTCTGTTCATTTTTTTAGAAGTGGAAACAGGCAGGTTTTTAAACCTTAGAATTGGTGATCAGGTTTGTCTCTTAACAGTAATTGAGGTTTAGTCCAACTGACAATTATTTGCCCTAAATTATGTGGAAGTCAGAACCTCAGTCCTCAGTAACACCTAAGCTATTGAACTCCTACTGAACACATCTTAAGTTTGTTGCCCAAATGTTTTTGAGATGAGAGCCCAAATTACAACTTCATGCTCATCCACCCAATTCAAAATTCTTGTATGTCACATGTCCACAAAGATAGCGAGGACTGAGAGGATGTTCTGTCAAAAGATGGCCTGGTCTATTGACAGTGTTCACCCAATACTGTCCCTCTCATCCTCCTCTGTTGAGGAAGGGCATCGTACTTCAGACCCAGGTCTCTGGGTGGTCTCTGTCCAAGTGTAATACAGTCACCAAACTATTTGTGTGGATCAGTTCTGAAGTGTGGTTTAAATAAGTTACCTCACTGTGAGGAACATCTGCCTTAGAGGTTTTGCAGTGTGCTGAAGTCTTGCTTACACATGAAATGTTTAGCAGATTGGTTGCTTTTTAATGTGTTCATTGGTTTCAATGCTGATGTCTTCTTTGAATTGGGTTCTCTCTTCCATAAGAGAGACTAAAAGTATTAGCTATTAAAAGCATGTTTCTGCCATGGTACTGATTTCTCAGGAGCTCTTTGAAGTTGGAAAAAAATTATTAAGCTAAGCTTACAGCTAAGTGCAGAAGTAGAAAACTATAATCATAGATAAATAAGGGACTGGAATGTCATGGGCACCAGTGCTTTCACCTGTACTCTGCTTTTCATTTAGGAGGTGATTACAAGAACACTGAATGTAACTTCATGCAGACACCAGTTCCAAGACAGAGATGCAGATATTTGGTTTTGTACTTGGCTGGGATTTCAGTAGGAGGATGAAGGGGTAAGATTTGGTCAACATTGTACAAATTCATATCCTCCAGTGCAATATACATAGAAAAAAGAAAAAGCCCCACTCCTTACTTTGTATAGATTAGTTCTTAACTGGATTAAACTGAAACTCAGCACAGTGACAGACGTCTACTGTTTTATTTTAAGTGGGTGGGAAAGGGGTGGGTTTAGATCTTGTCTGTATGCACAACTTGGTATTTCTGCTTAGAGGCCCTTCCTGTTTGCCCTCTACTCTTTGCTTACTGGAATGATGCGAGTTTATAAAAAGATGTAAGTATCCTATGTTCTTCCCTGGCACCAGCTGCCTCACTGAATAGCTATTCACTAAGTACTTGAACGCTCAATATTCTATATTCATAAAAATACAAACCCAACTAATTTAAATGCTACTTCAACAGCATTACAAACCTGAGAGCACCACACACTTCCCTGACTTGTTCAAATTCAAAACAGAAATCACAGAGAAGGCGAAGGACGCACAGATTTAGTAACAGATTTTGCTATAGGTTGCTTTCTCTTTGCTTACAGATTTTGCCTTCAAAGCCAGGTGTCAGCCATTTCAGGATGTCAGAATGGCTGTAGCAGTGTCTCTCTTGGGGAGATCCCCAGGACATGATGCCATATCCAGCCACATTAGACTTATCCATTTTGTAAATGTATATTGATTAAGAAAAATTGATGTATGGTGGCATTTTGCAAAGAAGTGAAACTCTGAGCTATAGATTATAATTTTGTAATTTATGCAAAAGTAGGTAGCAGATGCCAGGGGCTGTCACTAAGGCTGGCCCCAGAAGTACTGCCTTGTTTACATTCTCAAATATCTGTTACTTACTGAAATCAAGAGCTAGATGTACCAAGGCAGTGAAATGAGAGTCCCATCTGAAAACATAGCAACATTCACTGTAGTGTAGTTATATCTCTAAAAATGAACTTTTTTTTTTACAGAATGGGAAATAGGAACTAGCTTGAGTCCTATTTGCACATCCGCGGATAGTAAATACTAAAACCATCTAGTTACCCTAATGTTTTCTAATGCCTTGAAAGCTTTACTTGCTTTGTACCCAATAGTAACATTTCTTACAATTATACTGTCCAATACTGTGCTAAATAACAGCCTGCATACTTGCTTGTGTAGTGAAGTAAAATATCAATGAGGGAAAGTAATTATTTTCCAGAGATACTCAAGTTGACAAATGCAGGGATAAGCAGCACTACAAAGCTGGCCTCTCCATTCTTTGCACCTTTTCCATCAATTTAAGAAGCTCTTAGTCTGAACGACTGCACAGTGACTGCTGCTCAGTCACTGTTGCAAACAATTTGTTACTCAAACGTGCATTTCCTTAACACAGCTGGTATCTTCTAAGAAACTGTCCATAGAGTAATTTCTGTGTATGGCAGGTGATAGAGGGGAAATTCGTGTGTTATATGCACTAATGTCTCATTTCACACCCTCCTTCTAGCTTATCATTGCTGTTAATAGTACATTGAGAAGAGGATTTCAATTTTTGTGCTCCCCATCACCAGTGACAGTGGAGAAAGCAGAATGGAGGTGCAGGCAGCCCTCCACCTCCTCTGTGCACCATACCAAGCTATGCCACTGCATGAATCGGAGCCCACCTAGGAGGAGAGGATGAGTTATTCAGCCAGGGAGTAGAGTCCTATGCAAACTTGTGCGTATGGAAGTTTCCAGAGTCACAGAAAGACACTAGATACTTCAGTAGCAACGAGTGAAGTTCCTGAGCCCACATCTATTCTGCAGGCTGCACTGACCTCGCCAGTGCGTTTAGTACCCTGGAGAAGTGATGCAATGTTTATTGTATCACTCAACATTTTTTCATGTGACCAGCACATACAGTTGCATACTGTTTCTTCACTAGAGGGAGTCTAAGACAAGGATTACAGAGCACTTCTAACAGCTAATTAAGAAGCAGTGGTGGCATAATAAAATAGGATGTTGAAAACTGGATGATCCCTCAAAAGCCAAACAACAGCTGCCACGTCTCAAAAGGGCTGTTGTGGGTTTGGTTTTTTTTTTCCTTTTTCTTTTACAAGAATGCATTTCCTACATTATGCTGTTTTCTTTTGGAAGACACCCCGATAGTGCAAATGAGCACTAAGCTAATGATGCTCTTTCTCTGTACCATGCTTGATCTCCGAGTACAGTGCACCACAACTGGATAACAATACGCGAATCACTTGGTATTTAAAAACCCAACTTATTGACCAGGAAAAGATACTGTTTACATTTATAGCTGGAAGCCACAGTCCTCCTAGAGTAGGATCCTACATGTTGTACAGTGAAACAAGAAAAGGCTGCTGCACTATTTCTGCCAAACTTACAGCTGGAGTAAACAGGATTATACAGATGACAGCTCATTGTCACTCCTGATGCTGCTCAAGGAACAGCTTCTTTGGAGGTAGTTCGTAAGTTGTTTTCTATTAGCCTTTTTTCCCCAGGAATTCTAAAGGTAAAAATTGCATATATCAGAGCCAGCTTAGGGATGCCAGTTCATCCAGTCTCTGAAGCTTCCAAGGAAGCACAATCACCAGTGAATAGCTAAGGAAACTGATAGGAATCATGATGTTAAATATGAGAACTTGGATGAAGGAATAGGGTGTTCTCATTAAGGCATGCAAAGTTTTTTATCAGTTTCCCTGTATCTCTAGTTTAATTGTCTGTGTTCAATGTTATGCTGCTTACTACACATAAAGCCATGGCTCATTTTCAGCTACAATAGTTTGATAATTCTTAGTCTAAATACCCTCTTTCTAGGCATTTTATATTTAGCAAGGAATAAGAAAAATCAAGTGCTGTAAATGTTCACTTATTTGTGTTCACTAAGCATTATAAAATTACCAAGAACTTAACAAATCACATATGCTATTCTTAGTCTAAATAAGTATCTGTATTTTAATTTTCTACTGTATGTGCAATACTCAGGCAAGAAAAATAACCAGCCAGTCATCTGCCCTGATGGGTAGATTTAGTTCAATCTAACGGTAATTACAGTATCATTGGAATAGTCTTGATTAATTTATCTATTAATTATTTACAGCTCCCAAGTTGCATTTTAGTTGGCCCAGCCTTTGGATTAACAGATGCCTGTCTTTTGGTTGGACCGGTTGCTTTCCTGTACATTAAGCACTATAAACCACGTAAGTGGTTTCAAATGTCTAAATTTCTCTTTTGACTGTATTATGATTTCTACATAGAATAAAATCATTTGCAAGAACAGTTTTCAAAGTTTAACAGGAGGGATGAGTGACTACAGCCAGCACTGTAATACTCCTTACTGCTATTGTGATCTTTAGCCACTGCTCTTAAAACCAACGCTCCCATGCTTTTGTTCACATTTGCTAAAAAAGCAATATTTTCATTTGGTATTTTGGTGGCTGCAGGCAGGCTGGAGATTGCTAAGCCATCTGTGCTGTTACGTGGCACCGCAGACCTGTGCTGGCTGGATTCAGGTTGGATCCTACAGCTGTCTGACGGCCCGCACAGTACCAGCCTCAATGAGGGCCAGGGATCACCAGTTGGCATCATATCCCCTTGATCTCTGCCAGCTAATACATGCTTCGTCATAGCTCATCTTTCAGTCTAGACATGTCCTAAATGTTTCAGGTGTCCCTCAGGCTCCTCAGGACAAAGCAAGGGTTGCACCAGTGTTGCACCAAATACGCAGAGAACATTTTTTTAAAACTTACTTTATAAAACAAAAAACAAGTTGCAATGTAATAGTTATGAAATAGGGGAAAAAAGTAGGGAAAAAAGTGCTGGGATTAGAGGCAATGCATTCATATACTGCAGACTAACTGAAAAGATGCAGTTTGACTCAGAAAGTGACCGATACAAGACGTCCTGCTCATGCCTGATGCACACATGTGATCAGCAGAACTTCTAAGTGGTAACTCCCAACTGCTTGGTGATATGGTTTCTTCGTTATTAAAAAGAAACAGTGACAAACATGCATGTAAATAACCCTTTCACAAACAAATTCATATGGAAGAAACTTTAGAGGCTGGCTGGCTGTAGCTGACTGTACCAGTCACATATCTGGCAACAGGGATGGACTAAACATCTCCATAATCGCAGCTCTTCAATCAAGAGAATTTAATTGCATGTTTTAAGGAATAAAGCATCAATATATTTATGCATTGTCATAGTATAGTATCTAAATCTTTGTAAAGGGAGGAACCAACTTGTGTTTACAAGTTGAAAAAAATAAAACCTCACTCAAGCTTATTTTAGGCAGCCATTTGCACTGTGCAAATGCAGCTCACTTCTCACATAGCCATTCTCCTTGGTGCACAGCTCCTCAACACTGTCCAGAAGCTGGCTGCAGTCTGTCCAACATTTGGAGCAAGCTCCTGGGGCAGCTCCTGCCACTGGCTTTCCCGTACTCCTGCAGCTGGAGAGGGAGGACATCATCTGCCCACAGCTGGCAAGGACGGGGTGAAGCTGCCCTGTGCAATGCAGAGGGCAGCCTCCTGCCACATTCTGGAGACACAGAGCCTCCTGCACATCTTGGGCAGCAAAGAAGGTCTTTCTGGTACACCGTTGCCTGCCTGGACAGAGGCAAGGAAGAAGCAAGCTGTGTACTATCACAAGCCTCTCCTGATAGCACGCGCACTGCTGACTGTGTGTAGCTCATGCAGGAGAGAGAGAATTATTAGCATTCATTTCTTTTTCTTGCCATTTTTAATTAATGTGCATTTAGAAACAGATGCATCCCCTTCTCCCTTACAGTTTCTCAAAAAAATACTAGCTTCAAAGGAAGCATAGAAATGAAGTGTTTGGAAGAAGCTCTCTTGAATTACCAGGTTGTGGACTTTCATCCCAAACCATTAATATTAAACTTTTTATCTGAAGTATCCACAAGAGAGAAAGGTACAAATTTTCTCATGGAGTGATGTACAATGCAACACACAACGTAGCACTGCAAGAGAAGAGAAGGCAATTCTGCTAAAGGACCAGGAGGATCTGAAAGCTTTTCAGCATCAAGTGCACATAGAAGAGAACAGCACTTTCATGGCTCTACCTACTGTTCATGTTTCTCCAAAGGCATGTGAGCGTGACAGGGCAGATTGAAATAATTCATGACACTCTTAACTGTCATCCTCTTGAGTGGACAACACCACTGACTGTCATAAGTAAGCAAACTGCTTTGCCATGCAGTGAGGGTACGGTTTAATTTGTGGAAGACAGTAGCTGTCTGGATTTACAGTTGGTAGGGCTATGATGGTGTTAAAACAGATAATTTTTCAAAGCAAGTGTTCACTTTAGGACTCCCAAATTTTCATCTCACTGTTAACAAGGATGGGTGTTCTTTGTCTCCAAAGCTGTGACAGTGATTTCTTCTAGCCCAGATGCCCTCACATGAATACACAATTTCTCCTATGTCTTCACTCAGAATTACTCTTAGTAATACTATATATTTTCTCCAAATACCTGTCTTATCCACTACACTCAGTTCTCCAACAGCTGGTCATCTCCCTTACAGGCCCTCAGGATCTATGAGGATGCAAAGCATTTCCCTAGATCTTATTTAAGACGTCTGGAAACCATTTCCCCAGAGAAGGCACATTCTGTTCACAGAAGGCAGCTTAATCTCTCAAACACTGGTTGGTCATAGCCACCAGATCTCTCTAACCAGGGAAGCAAATACGCTTCAAACCCATTCTTGGTTTTTCTTCAAAGGAATTTCACAGGTGCATAGGGTGCGACTGCGAAACCTACCCTTTCCCAACACTTTTCTTTATGCCTATGTTACGGGCTTACAGCATGGGTTTCTCTGGGGCTTGTGGTGCACAGTATCTGAGGGAAGGGGAACCCCTGATCAGCATCTTGCAGTACTGTATCATATCTTGATAAAATTTTTTAAAATCTGATGATTTGCTTTTCAGCCCTACCAGTGCTAGATGCAGTGCAATATTTGACAAACATGCCAATTGCTGTGGAGTTGCTCACCTTAACTTGCAGAGCCTGTTCCTTCTTTCCTGAAGGAATTGAACTCTTTAGGCATAAAGATGATAAGTAGCACTCAGGATCCTTCACAGATGCCGAAGCTAAAAACAAAGGGTCTTTTCCTGATCAACACAAAACTATTGCAAAGAAAACTAAATTCCATTTACATGACCATGCAGTGCAGTTCACTGCTGAAGTTACACATTCAAACGGTTCTACAAGAAAATCCTATTCTCTCAGTTTACAAAGTGACTCTTTTATCCTGTGTTCTTTGGGGAATATGTTTGTGCTTTCCTCTTTGGTCCACTTGAAAACACCTGGAGAGGACACACTGCCTGTAAACCTGTGTTAGTTCTGTCATCAGTAAGGCTTGCTCAGAGCCTGCTCTGGAATGAGATCAGTGCAGCTGTGTCCTGGACATCCAGCTTTATATGCACAGACATGCCAGAAATAGGGCTGAATCTAAGGAGGAACAAAACTACTGCTCCTGATTAAGATTTCACAGACTTTGTGATGAACTATCTTAATAAAGTACTAAAAGGAAAAAAAGAATCCCACCCAGATCTGATTGTCCCAGTGTGAGACACCTACATAGCACTGCACTTGCAAACCAAGGCATGCAAAAGAAAGAAAAGTGTTCCAGAGAGCGAGCTAAATCTAGCTTGAGGTCTAGATTCAGTTTCAGAAACAGAGTTGGCCTGAGAGCGTCCACAGCATCTGTATTCCTGCCTACCCCACGGGAAATCAGGAAGCCTAATCCCTTGAGCAGACTTGACAGTTTCTATCTCTTAGAAGTTTCCAAGAAACTCTTAAAAACCCAAAACCAAACAAACAAAAAAAAAGGTGGGGGGAAGAATAGCTCTTGGAGTTTGTGAAGTATTTTCCTGAGGAAATATTTTTAGTAGGATGACACTGATGATTTACAAGAAAGTAAATATATTGTTTCTCCTGCAGCAGAGAAAGCACTTGTACTCCGTAACTCACCACTTTTTAAATTGTGCTCACATAGCTGTTTCGGGGACCACGAGGAAGACTAGCAAGGGGAAACTGGGAACTTCTTAAGCCAGGGAAAATACAGTAAAATATATAATTACTGTTACATTTGTTACAGAAGCCCTCTAGCTGGACAAGTAATATGTTATTATAAGTAAGTACATTTTCATACACAGAGGTCTAGAAGTTTGTTATGTTTAGGGTATCAAAAGAACATTATTTCTCCTACTTACTGCATTCCTCACAGACTGGATCCCTCTTGTTTCCTGTATAAATAACAAGGCTATAAAGAGCTAAATAATCAACTTATTTGACCTCTTCATGCCTTTATCTGCTTATCTAGCATTAGCAAATACTGTAACATCTCGGTGCCTGTGTATGCATAGAGCAAGTGATTTCTACCCTGAAGAGATTCAAACTCAGTTGTTACTGGAGGAGGAGATGATCAAGGATAACGTCAGACAAGAGCTACCAGGCAACTCAGGTGACTGCTTCTGCCTGCAATCTGTGCCTCAGATAACACCTACAGCTTTCGTGTTTAGCAAAAAGAAAAAAAAATTACTTTCGAAGTAATGTACAAAGGCTGGACAAACTCGTCACAGAAGAGATACTCTAAGGCTTCCAGATACATACAATACATCGATGGGTCCTTTCACCTTAAAGGCAGTGCAGAGCACTATTTGATGTAACTTGAGGGGAAAAAATAATTTTGTTTCAGGTGTACAGAAGCATTTGGGACAGTAAGGTGTAATTTATGAGTCACTGTGCAAGCATGATTCAGCCCCAGGGGACCCTGGCTGCAGCTTGCTATTGGATAAATCCACTTGGTGCTCCAGTAGATATATTCACTCGGCATATTATTTTTGCCACTGAGACTCTCTACGAAAGTTCCAACAAATTGATATAAACAAAGGTTGAATTTAAGCTTGGATTTTTGCTTTCCTTGAATTGTTTTATTTCAAATGAGTGAAGAATATTGTATTCCCCACTATGAAATTTGCTAAAAGTAAAGTGGCTGGTAAAAAAATAAAAGCCAAAAATTGATGTTCAGTAATCTTTAATCCAGCCATTCCACCACATGTTTACTTTCCAGGAGATAACCCATCCAATAGGAGCAATTTTACTTTCCCCTCTTAACCACAAGATGTAATTTCATATTTACCCTGCTATAAAATTCTAGCGCCAAGGAAACAATATATAATTTTAGATTTCATGACTGAGCAGTATTAGCATCAAACCCTTGTCTGGGTTTTACTTCTCAACTCATTTGACATCAAACTATAGATCTTTGTTTTTGTAGCAAAGTAACAGAATATTTTAGTTGGTGGAAGTGATAGTAAATGGGCTGAGAACAGTCTGCTCGAGCCAAGTGCTCAATTGCTATCAAGTTGATAGGACTCATACCTTGGTCTTATTTCTGCTGTCAGAAAAAAAACCAAACAAACAAACCCACATCCTTTAACAAAAAGCAAAATTTCTCTCTTTTAATATATGCAGTATAATGCACTATGAATGTAATGTACATAACTGCAGTGTCTTACAGAGTCCAGGTACTGAGGACTCAAAGAGCAGCAGTCATATACTTCTGTTGCAATTCTTTCTTCTGTAATAAATCACTCTTGGCTTAGCGTCCCAGGAGTATTTTACTGCAGCAGCTTTTTAATGGATGACTTTCTCTCTTGCTTTAGCAAAGTCTCCCCTCATCTCTGAGATAAGAGATATTCCTACGCAAACCACAGTCAATAATACTGTCTGTCTTGAACGTTCCACATCAAATTTTGCACCAGACAACATCAAGAGTTGCATGCATGTATCAGAGCCACAAAGACCAGACAGAGTTACCTGAAGCCAACCAAGTCATAAAAACTAATATTGGAGAAAATGGATTATACTTTTGTATGACCAAACTACAGTTCTCTCCAAAGGCATCTGACAATATTAAAATATTAAGATGTGAAGTTTTTTCATCCAGCAACTCAACACTGTGTAGAACAAGCCTTTCAACCTGAGCTTGCAGGTAAGTCATATTGGCTTATCATTGTTTGTTATCTTTTAGAACTTAGTTTAAATCTGGATACTAGTGTGCAAATACTCAAAGATCTTTTAGTGTGGCTGGATAATGGAGTAAGACACCCCAAAAAGTTATTAGAGATATTGGAATCTTACCTAAAGGAGATTATATTTCTAAGGAAATATTTCTATATGTCAGAATAATGTGGAAATTATTGAATTTTCCATCCCACAGTTATGCACTCAGTGCTCTATAGCTACACCATAAGCTTTAAAAATGAACTAACAGAACTTTCCCCTGTAACTCACTAAAGATCAAATCAAACCTCTCAACTAATGCTGATCAGTATTTTTTTTTTTAATTAAACTGTTTCAGAAAAATGAATGAAATATGAGTGCCAGCACACCAATTTAGTCAGGCATTCTCTGAACTGCATCCAGAATTTTTAACTCAGTAAGAAGACATCTGTTGAATTTAGCACCCTTCGGAGTAGTTTCTCTGAGAGTCAATGTGAAATCCAGTGATGACTGCATATTGAGTAATGAGAACATACTGCTAAAAATTTTGTGGACTGGTGTAAATTTGGCAATACTTGTTAACACAAGACTTCAGATTCTTCTATGGATACATTAACTCCCTTTATGATAGGTCAATATAATATTATTACTATTGTAAATAACTGTATTTCTGCCTACTTTGTAGAATAACCTAACAGGGCTACTAATAAACTGTCTCTGACTGCAAATCAGAGCCACGCAGAAGCCTTTAAGTATTAGTTCTAAAACAGAACAAAACTATAAAGGCCATTCTGCTAATGTCACTCCTGAGCATGATTCTCCCTTCACCAGGCAAACGTTACTGGAAGGTCTGATAGGTGACAGGGTGGCTTAAGCAGCAGCTGCACGCCCCATATCTCCCACAGGACTCTAGGTCTGGGATCAGAAATGCGTATGTAGAAGGGGGAGAAATAGGTAGGGTGTATATTGTCCACCACCACCAAAGAAGTCGCCCACAGGTTAATACTAGTTGTTAAACAAAGACTTTTTTTTTTTTATACGGAAGTCACCTGAAGGAGGCAGTAAGGGACCTCCGGCCATCCATCCAGAGGTTCACAGAGATACAGAGAAGGTTTTTGAACACAGCAGAGTTTCATGTTGGGCCTGAGCAAGGCCAAGTCCAAAGGGAATAAGCAGGCAGGGAGTCTTACATTTGTACTAGTCTCTTCAGATAGTTATTTAACGTTACAGGACATCAGTGAAATGTGAAAATTACAGTTTTAATAGTAGAACACAAACTACTCAGCCAATATGACACATTTATGGAGCGGCTTTGGTGCCAAGACCCTTATCCTCTTCTCTCTGAAAAAATTAAGTCAAAGATTCTGGTCCATCTAGCCAAGAAGCAGTTACCACTTGGAAGA